GACAGAGGTCTCCCTCGTCTGTGAGGGGAGGTCTGTGTGTGTCCCCCCCCCCCCCATAGCTAGGAATCCAAAAGAGTCCAGTGGAGCCTGAGCGGTGGGTGTTGCCTTCTGACACACTTCCGGTGATGTCAGGGGGTATAGCATATGCAAATAAGTTATGCTAATGAGCTCCTGCACCTCTTTTTCTACGAAATGACCCCTGATTGAATGACTCATCAGTAAAAGTGTCACACTGAAGCCCATAAACAGAAACAGTCTTAGTTGAGTCAGTAAATGAATATCTGTATGTCTATCACAATATGCCGCCACTGACTGAATGGGATCCAAGGACAACAGTGCTTCTATGGATGAGTAGAAGAGAGCATAGAATGAAAGACACAATTAAAGCAAGAGGGCAGTTGTGGTTTAAAGGACTTTTCTAAGAGGGTGGCAAGCAACATTGCTCATCTCACCCTGTCCCTGGTGGTGATAATCCAACCATCTTGAAACAAAGGAAATTTAGACATGGCACAACGGGAGTTGTTTTCTGTTCTGCGTTTGTATTCCTACGTAACTTGCATTTATTGTTTCATTTTCAAAGATCAATATGAGTTAATTCTTTTGACTAGTCTCAAGTAGTTGATCCCAATAATGTATCATTAATATACAGTTACTAGGGAAAAGTCCCGTTGTGGAAATAAATACAACGAACTCTAGAAAGAGGCTCTGGGTGGGTGCCCCGGCCTTGGATACTCAGTGTCAATTTGCTGTGGCGACCTCAGCAGGGCACTGAGTCCACCATTTTCTCCAGAGGAACTGATCTCTGCTACCTAAAGAACAGTTGTAATTTTGAGTGATCTCCATCCCTCACCTAGAGATTGGCAACGATGGTTCCCTAGAAGGGAATGGTTGGTTTGGAGGGTGGAGTCTATGGCTTTGTACCAGTCCAAGGTCCCACCCCTCCTGAAACCTCACCCTCTCCAGGCTTCATCCCTCACATCTCCAGGAATTTCCCACCTGAAGTTGGCAACCCTATCTCCTTCCCAGCCAATCATCAACCTACCTTTATTTCCCCCTCACTCTTCAGCTTTCCACCCCCCACACACCTGCAGCCTCTCCCGTGCTCTGAAGCCATGACTGCTACGTCACATTGGCTCACACAGGGGCCACCTCAGCAGCAAATAAGGATACAGAGCCCACCATTTTATCCAGGGGAACTGATCTCTGCCATCTGGAAAGCAGTTATAATTCTGAGTGATCTCCAGCCCTCACCTGGAGATTGGACACATTTTACCTCAGAACAGCAAACTGTTTAGAATGTTAGAGGCAAAAGCCAATCAAGTCGCATATGCAAATGACCTCTGTGTTCCGAGGCAAAGGCCAATGAGGCTGCATATGCAAATAACCTCTGTGTTCTGACTGGCTATGGGGGGGGGGGAAGAACAGCAAAGTGTTTAGAATGTTGGAGGCGAGACTCAAGCAATGCAGCCAGTAGATAGGGACAGGTTCTGAGTGACACAGCAGGGCGCCAACCAATTCCAGAGTGTGTGGAATGTTCTAGGGAAGTGCCACCACAATTCGGCTTTTATATATAAGGGAGATGAAGACTGAGGTAACAGTAATCATTTTAATTTTCTGTTTATTTACCTTTTTTCTCATCCACCTGTCTTAAACAATAACCTTGTTCCTTTTTAAAGTCCATTTTGCGAATTGCACAAAAAAATATTTTCCTACTGCCCATTTTATTTTTGTACTGTACAAAATGTGTCCTACCACATGTTAGAATAAACCCTGGAGTAGACCTGGTTAGGATTGCTCTCTAGAGTCATAATCCAGTTTACGATTTGATTTGGAATCTTCATGCTTTCTGAAATGCTGTGCATCTACATACAAGGTGTCATTTGGTGTAGTGGTTAAGTGCAAGGACTCTAATCTGGGAGAACCGGGTTTGATTCCCCACTCCTCCACTTGCACCTGGCTGGATGACCTTGGGCAAACCGTAGTTCTGATAAGAGCTGTTCTTGAAAAAGAGCAGTTTCTGTCAGAGCTCTCTCAGCCCCACCTACCTCACAGGGTGTCTATTGTGGGGAGGGGGAGGGAAAGGAGTTTGTAAGCCGCTCTGAGACTCCTTTGGGTAGTCAAGGGACGGGTATAAATCCAATCTCCTCCTCTTCTTCTTCACAAGGCACGGCGCTGCCTTTGGATTTGGAGGGGAAACTGAGGAGGTGATGGAAACGGTATGTTTAACTAAATTAATTCTGCAGCCTGAGAACTTTTGTAAATGCAAAATAGCTACCAGCAGGAAACGATCTGGAACGCAACTTCCATTTCAAAGTACAGTTTTGATTGCTGTACAGAAAGGCAGCTTCGAAGTATCAGATGTTTATAATTCTATAATACTGAACTACTTTGCAGGGTTGTCACAGACTAACTTCACTTCAAGCCACTCTCCCCAACGGCGATATGGGAATAATTCCACACTGCAGTTAAATCGTAGGCCACTTTCAGACCCGCCCCCACATACAGAAGACCCCCGCAATGTAGGGATGCTAATAGACCTTATGTAAGTATTTTTAAATCGAATTAAAGCCTCATACATATTTTTTTAATGAAAAATAAGACCAGAGCACAGACTTCTGCAATTGTTTCTGGCTACTGAGGGGAAAAGAGACTATGCTGCGCTGCCCAATCACCGCTACATGTAAGTACTGGATTCCTCCCTCCCTTTCCCCCCGCATAAACAGTTGCCACTTTTAATCCCGGAAGTATGAAAAAGTACAGCATCAAAAGCAACCTAGGAAACATCACCTCCAAACAATGTAAATGTCGGTCTAGGACTTTGGGATATAAATCTATGGATTCAGCTCTCGATCAAACCCAGCGCCGTAAACCTCAAAGACTCGAGACGTCACATCCGTCAAGCCTAGCGATGTAACAATTTTCGGCGGTGATTGGGCAGCTCTGGAAAACCATCAAGATGCTACGGCTAGAACGCCCTCTCGGCGCCCCGCACGCGTGAGAGAGAGGAGGCCGCCGGTGTCTCCTTCTGCCGCCTCCTGCAGCTCCCGCCATGGCTATGTTGCCCACGGGGCGGCTAGGGACCGCTATCCGCCTTCTGTTGCGGTATGAGGAGCTGGCGGGGAGAGGGAACAACGGGGAGCAGAAGGACCCCAGGGAGGGCTAGAGGTCACCCTGGTTTGGGATTCTCACGTGAGCCACAGGCCGACGAGCAAAATCCCCACGATCTGTGTGGCATTATCGGAGGAGCATCCATACCCGCAGCCTTTGGGCAGTAGCATCCTATCATGGAAGATCAGTGGTTTCGGAAATCTCAAGGCCAGCATACTGTGCCTGACTTTGGGAAATCCCTGTGGGCTGAGGAATTGTTGCTGAAAGGCTCCAGCAACAGTAGATCGAGGCGATGCCTTGCTTTTCTAAGGCATGCATATTTCAGGGGGGGGGGAGTAGTGGGAAGTTATTGTGGAGAGGTAGGTGCATGGTTAGCACCACCTAATTTCATGGCTGAGGTGACCTTTGAATTGGAAACTTCCTGTTCATACCTCACAACTACTGTATAAGGAATTAGCAGAAGATTGACTCTGGTCTGTTGGTGAGCCAGTGGGCAGTTTGTGATGGACTGCCTAAGATCTTCTGTTTGCTGGTGGTGTTGGAAGGAAAGTCAGTGTTGGACTTTTTAAAACTTCATTTATACCCTGCCCAATGGGGACCCAAAATAGCTAACAACATTCTTCCCTTCTCCATTGTATTGTTCCAACAACTCTGTGAGGTAGGTTAGTCTGAGTGTATGACTGGCTAAAGATCACTGAGCAAGTTTTCACAACAGAGTGGGAATTTGACCCTCATTGTCCTAGTCTGACACTGTAACTATTTGGCTCTGCTGGACTTTGCTCTGATCCTGGGCACTTCTTTGCTCTTAAATAGGAGTGTGTGCTTAAATTTACCCAGTCATTGTACTTCCTGTCGGGAAATCTCCACTGTCTACTTTTACTTTGTACTTTTAACATGTATTGGTGGAGGCGGAGTACTATAACAAGTACATCATGCATGAAAGAAGTCATTCTCTCTGTCATCACATTTTCATTTTTCCCTTCCTTTTGTGATCAGGGCAACATATATGATTTTCTCCTCCATTTTGCTATCCTCTAACACATGATTGGGTATTTATCCCAATGTGTATCTATTGTTGTTGTTCAGTCGCACAGTCGAGTCCGACTCTTTGCGACCCCATGGACCAACTCCCGCCAGGCCCTCCTGTCTTCTGCTGTCCTCTGAAGTTGGCTCAATTTCTATTAGTGTGAAGCAATTCCCAATCTGCGTCTTACTAGGATAGTTTCTTTAGCCATCTGAAAATGCCTTCTAGCTCTACGTGGGTAATTTGTCAAACTGGATGTTAAAACTGCAGCTTCACCTCTGTTGGGAGTTGGATCCTCTGCCCCCTCTATACCATTTGCTGTTACTGATATTGTCCAGGGGGGAAGCAGGTCTGTCCTGGTTCAGTGTTTCCCCTTAAGGCAGGAGTCTATAGCCATCTGAACCTGTATGCACCTGCTGCACAAACATCTTTGTCTTGGGATGTGTAATGCTCCATTTTCCCCCTTTTATGTAGGCAGCATCAACCACGAGCCTGTGCTGTAAGGATGCTGAAGGCTACATGCTTCCAGCGAAGTGAAGCCCTGGCAAGCCCTCCTTTGGACAATGCCCCCAAAGAGTACTCACCCAAGATTCAGCAATTAGTTCAGGACATTGCTAGCCTGACCCTGCTGGAGATCTCTGACCTCAATGAGCTGTTGAAGGTATGGTATTTGCACAATGAGCAGAGTGGCTGCCTTATCAAGGCCCCGGTCACACGGGCCGGATATCGCGGGGGGGGGGGGGGGGGGGGGGGGAATTTGCCCC